TCTTTAGTGCTGACATCCAGGCAGCCATCTTGGCATTCTTCCACGCTGACTCAGATCTGCAGGCAAGCGCTCTGCATACAAGTCATGCAATATAGCAACGAGCCATCAACATAGCCAGTATAGTCCAGTTTTCAAATGGCGCATGTATCCAGGAACCCATCTCTCGGAACGTGTGCAGCAAGGTCGTGATTGTCAACCAACCTCAAGCTCGTCTAGCTCATCAGTCCACTCTCAAACGCTGAGGTCTTTTACTCTACGAAGCATCCATTGTGTCTCGAAGTCTCATCAGAATCAAGGCGCTGTATCCTTCAGTCACAATGTCTTCAAGTCGAAATGTATCAGCTTCTACAGCAAGGCTCACAGCCTAGATCAATCTCAAACACGTTCCCAGTACCTTTCGAGGAATGATCGAGCTTCTTGCGTCGCACCACGTACACCAAGAAAATCTTTTTGAGAGTCGCTTCTCTCCACTGCCACGGCCTTTAATGATTCTTACTAACTATATGGGAGCTGAGAAATATCTTTGTTGAGATGTGAACTACACTAGTTTCCATCGATTGTACGCAGCCCGGTCGTTGATTCAACGCTCTATCATTCTTGTCACTTCAAAAAGGATATAGCGAGTTATTCGGGAGGCTACTTGTTATGCAGGATTCTCTGCTGTTGGGTTCCAGCGCAATTTTGGCGGATGGCGATTCTGATAGAACATACAAGCACAAAACTATTTCACTCAGCTGTCTCAAATCTTGAAGAACATGTGCGTCATCGGCTAGTAACATCTACACCATTCACTACATGTCCAGGCAAAACATACATACCCACAATGCTCTAGTCACTTCTCACGCCTACCCTATAGTCCGGAAATTTCTAACAAAACGGTTTTTACAAAACCCTCCCTGCGTAGCCGTTCGTCCATCCGGACCTCATCAACCCCAACATCACCATGTCCTCCACACACGAGCGCTCCATCCCCGGCCTTTCCGCCCTCTCCCCCACCGTAAACCCCGAACAATGCTACAGCGCCCTCTCCTTCTGCCTCCCCACCTCCCTCGCCTTCGCCAAACGCCTAACCTGGGAGCAAACCCCATGGATCCCCCACACACTGAACCTGAAATCCGTGAACCCAATCGACGAAGCCGACGCGCACCGCATCGCCGCCTACCTGTCCCTCCACGGGCACTCAGTCACGGCTCGAGACGTGCAACGCGCCCTGCTCTTCGGAAGCACGACACCAGGACAAGACCACATGACAGAGGGAATGGGATCGTGTCCGCATCTCTTCGTTATCTTCCCCCACGCAAGCATGGTTCCTTGTATTGACCCCGAATTCCTCAAAATCTGGCACGACGACATAGTGAAACCGGCGTTCGACCGCGCGTGGAAGGACTCTGGTCTCGCGCTCGTCTCCGGGTTGTCGCTAGACACACCAACCCGCGTCTTGCCTCCAACAGGCGTCTGCACGTCACGCGACGCGTTTCCAGCATCTGGCTTCCTCGAGCGCCTGCGCAAAGGGAAGACCGGGGCTGTGCGAGACTACTGGCCTAGCTGGACGGATGACTCGTGGTATCTCGGGCTTGAAGGGAAATATACGGGTACACGGACTGCGATATACGAGACAGCCTGGGGTGCTATAAAAGGCATGTTGAAGGACCATCCGCAGTTGTCTTCGTACCAGGATCCCATCTTACTGGCGGTGTCGAGGGGAGTGGTGCATGTGAATCCTAGGTTGAGTACGAAAGACAAGTACAGGTATGTGGCGCAGGAGTGGGATCGGCTTGTTGATTCGCGGTTCGTGAAACAAGGCAGTTTTCAGGTGGTTTTCGAGACGGTAGTGGGGAATACGCCAGAGCCGGACGACTATCTTGAGGACGAGGAGATGTTGAGGGATGAGGACCTTATGGATGAGAGAGAGATTAGGAAGATCAGGGAGAAGGAGGAGATGTTGAAGAAAGAGGAGATCCTAGCGATTGAGAAGATGGAGGCGGATGAGCCGGTCGTGACAGTTGGGCCGGTAGAGACGATTTTGGCTGTGGAAGGAAACAGCGAAGGCATCAAGAGGAAGGAAGACTTCACAATACCTACGAGTGAGGACGAGTATCGCAATAAGCGGAGGAGGAGGGAATAGCTTGGTGATGCATCTTGATCCAAGAAACGCTGGCAGCCGAAGAAAGGAACGCGGTCGGTAAAGCAGCGAAAGAGAGACAACGTGTAATGTAGTGTAAAGAATCCATCAAAGCTATCCAAGCTTACCATACAACGCCAACCAATGCAATACTCCGGCTACGCACTACCAAAATGCGATAGCGATGATGGAGTGTTTGCTCACTCATTTCAGATGATACCAGCGATCCTATTTACGCTGTTCATCGATCCTAGCCCTAGCCCCAGCATCGTCCTCAACCTTCTTCTATCTTGGCTTCGGCCGCCGGAACGGATGTGCCTCAGTGTTGAACACCCAATCATCCAAGCTAATCATGTCCGGTGTGCTGAAGATGAGGTAGAAATACTTCAATGTCTCCGCTGTCCAGAAACTCTCCATCTTGTTCTCGATATTGTCGTCGCGTGTGTAGGGTACGTCGCCCACACCAGGAACGGATTTGTAGGCCCGGCCTGGAGCTTTGGGCGCTACGAATGTGACGTCTCGGACTTGTCCGTTGGCATATGGCGTTCGAGTTGCGGCAACAATGCTGGTGAACATGTCCCACGCGTCATCGAGATACTGCCGGTCACCAGTGATGCGGTACATGATGAAGACGGACTCGATGGCTTCAGGTCTGAGCAGGTACCGCTTGTCGCGGATATTGGTGAAGCCAGGTGGGATCTTGTACTTTTCCACTGCATCGTTGAAAGATTCGACATGTTTGCTGCTGTAATGATATAGCGCACCTTCTTCCCAAGCTGTTTGGTTCCAGGGACAGGTTTTCCGGGAGTCACAGGCGACCATATCAAATGTCTCGGGCATGATACCAGTTTGTGTGGCGGCGTAGGCGTATATGCATCCCTTGGTAAGCTTCGCGCCGAGATCCACGTGGTCAGGATCAGAGAATAGGCGACCTGCCAGACCAAACATGCCGCCAATGAAGCACGTAAGATGTTGCATGGTTGGATCGAGTTTGGCTTCTTCGCCGTGTGTGAAAACATCACCACACAGGAGTAGGTCTTCTCCGTGGAACTTGTCAGGCACCATGGGTCGGAACAGCATGTATGCGTCAATCATCTCCGCAGAGTCGCGGTACAATTTCTCGTACGCAGGCTCCACCCCGCCCAACAACGCATGCATCTTGGGGAAGTATTCATACGTGCTGTCAGCAAGCGCGCCGATGGAGAAGAAGCGAGATTGATTGAATTCTTCTTTCGCGGCATTCACCATAGTTGGCCATAGGCCAGGAAGCCTTGTGCTATCCTGCGCGCGATCCATCATTATGGTGATTCTCGCAACCGCGTCGTAGTACTTTGGCTCTGACGTGACCTGCGCCAGCCGCGTGAACTCCATGGTCAAGCTGCCGAGACAGGCAAAGCAAATGTTGCTCTCGGCGGAGAAGGCCAGCCTGGGTACCTTCTTGACGCCCTCCACGTTCAGCCAGCCCAAGGGTGTATTATTCGTCGTGTCGAACGCTCGATACAGCATCTCTCCAAGTTGTATCGCCTTCTTAAGCAAGATAGGCTTCCCGCTCATGTCGTATGCGCTCAGCAGCCCGCCAAGGTATCTGATAGTCGTTTCGAAGACGCTTACGGTGGTCAGATTGGTCTTGCCGAAATCTATGGCCGCGATGGCCTCCACGGCCTCTTCGAACTCTTCTTTGAGTCCCATGATCCACAGCGTGTCTAATGAATCGACGAGTGTGGCACCCCAGCCGCCAAACGACTCCTCACCCTCACCAGTAATTGGCTTAAGCTCATCCTGTGCCCACGCAAACTTCTTGTAATTATTCCAGCTATGCCTAAATTCGTCTCGCACGGCGACTCTACGTTGTTCCCTCTGTTTTCTTTGCGCGCTTGTTTCGGGGAAGTCTTCGGACTGGACGCGCGGGAGTTTACGAGGAGCGGCAGTCGGCAGCGGTATGTAGGACGTGATCGTGTTCACAAAAGGCGCTTCTCGCCAATCATATGACTGCTCGGATTTGATGCGCGCGAGACTCGATCCATCGTGCATATACGCTTCGTGCTCTTCGAATGCGACAGCGAGCGCATCGGTGGGCTGCGCGTACAGCCAGTAATACCCGCCGAACGCGACGGCCGAAAGAAGCGCATATATAAGGGTTCGCTTATGTTGTCTCGACATTGGCCGCTGGTATGGCACCCCGCGGGGCACTTTAATCCTACGCATTGTGAGATAAACGCGCAGACCTGTAGTCTCTCATCGAATGTACAATGGGAGAAATGATGTCGTGAGAAGTAAGCAGCCAGCACCAAGTGGGTGGCCTGAATGGGAGGTTTGCGATGTAGTCGGATTAAGGTATCATGCAATGATGAGGGAAATGATGCCGGGTGTGGTGATGCCACCAAAAAGTGTGTTGTTCATGAAACCGCCATGGTGAAGCCGGCGCAAGGACACCTCTCCAGTGTGGAGGGATGTAACGGAAGTGACCCATCTGCCAAGGCAAGCTCCATTGCCGATCAAACAGAAAGTACAGGTCGAAGCACTTCCGGTAACCGTAGCGCCAGAAGCGACTATAGCACGTGTCGGCGAAATATATGAAGGTGCGTACAAGCGACGGTGTACTCTTCGCCGTGAAGCGCATGTGTTCAGTTGTGCCGGCGCGCTAGAGACGCGTTGGTGCATACGTGTCCGTGCATCTCCTTGCCCTGCTTGCAGAGCTGTCGCCATTGCATTCAATCGACCAAGAGTATACATTTCCATGTAAGTTCATTTTTTTCTGCATGCTAATAAGGGCGAGGGAGTTGGCTGCTGATGCCGGTGCGGTGACACAGAGGTGTTCTCTCTGCATGGGCTCTGTGCGTCATGAGCTTGTCCCGAAACGGCTCTTTGGCACGTGACGTCAGCAGAGGGTCATGCCAGCGACGACGCACTGATGCCAATTCCACTTCGTTGCCGACACCAAGTCATCTACATTGAGCACTCCGACGCCAAATTCCGTGAGCTTAAACCACAGCATGTCTCTCAGACTAATCGGCCAACCAGGAGTATCCCAATATCTGCTCATTAATCCCGTCTCCTGCACCATCTCGATCTGGGTTTTCAGGATCTTCTCTTGCTCTGCGCTCAGTCGGTTGAACCAAATTTTACCAATTGCATCTTTGAGACTGACACTGGCGTAGTACGAGTTTGTATTGTTGAAAGTAGTGTTGCCGGTGGCAATAGACAGAAGCGGCGCATCGAAGAAGACGAAGCGATTGGTGTGGTTCGATAGGACAGACTCCAGGGCGATATTGCCTGTGCCGACGATAGTGAGCGGTCCATGATGCATCTTCTCGCCGTCGTAGTACGTGAGCCAGTTTCTATCCCGAAGAAGCTGTAGCTGTGCCAGGAGCGCATTCCAGATTGCATACGCATCGTTCTTGAAGTCAACTAGAAGAACGACAGAAGCGTCTGAGTCTGCGTCGAAAACCCCAATTTCTCTGTGGTATACAGATGCCTGGGAGACATTTCGCTTGGTCAAGATCCACGTTAACGGGTCCAGATAAAGACTTTTCAGTGTCCGCGGTGGCGTAGTCGATTCCCATGAGTGGCTCACAAGAAGCGCTCCGTCGTCCGCCAGCCACACGTCTGCTTCCACGCTTGTACAACCGGCTGCAAGTGCGCTAAAGAGCGGTATAGATCGCCAGTAGTCATTGTGTGAATGGCACTTCTTAGGCACGATGTCGCGGCTGAAGTCGTCCCGCCAGGCAACTTCATGGGCACCGTAGGTATCCGGTGCCGCCCAGTTCTCGACGATGTGTTGAAGACCGCTGTAGTTTGGTGGAGGAGTAAACTTATGGATGAGGGCGGTGATGAGGTATATATACACCCTGATTCGAGTCAGTCAGGTTCATAAGAAGGCGAATAGGACCACTCACGCTCCTACGATGATGCCGAAGACCAACAATACCCCAACAATTATCGGGAAGTACTTCCACCATGGCCATCTACCCATCCGTTTCGTACGAGTCGAATCCATCAACCTCGGTAGTGGTAGTCGGCGCCAGGCCACCGAACCTCTCCAGGCTCTCCATCTTTCACGGAGAGATGGTGTGACCGGAGATATGCTCTCTTCACTCGATGTACTGGATGAGTGCCAGCTCGAGCCCTCATTCATCTCATCGCTAAAGTTCCTCTCTGCTGGCATGTCTGCTCTGCTGAGTGAGCCCATGGTACCAAGACGAATGTAGCGAAAAACACACTTCTAGATAAATGGACATGTGGTACGTTCAGATAATGAGAGTAATAGGCTGATGGTTAGCTGATGTCAATACAGCACCCTCAGGTCTTGACGCCGATTACTGGTCACCTGAGTCGATCCAGTAAACGGGTTGATGCTGCAGTACTTGTTGCTTGAGCATCAATAGACTTTATCATTATTGCTTTGGGAAGCTTCATAAGACATGTCTTGAGGCGTAGCTCAGTCGAACATGAAGAAGATCAGCAATCAAATGCCTCCATGCAAGTCCAACTGAGACAACTTGGACTGCAGTCAGGATGATGTATAGGCTGCAAGGCGTATGATAGGTTTGTGAATGTGTCCGGGAATGGGACCGACGCTTCGAAAGCAAGAATTTCGAGGGTCTCTTGTGAGTGTGGATCATGTAGTAGGGTATTACATCGTACGGAGTACCGCAGATCTTTGCTTGTAACGATTCGGACCGGCTACAAGATTCGAGTACAGTAACATCGGTATTGTTGGGAAGACTACGCCGCCGCAAGACATGACAGCGTTACGAAGACAACACCGTCACTAAGCTCGACTTAGGTCAGCATCGGCGGTGCAATTCCCTAGGTGAGCTTGGAACAGGCGCTTTCGCCCCCCAAAGCAACATGTGATGCCTGAAGAAGCGAAACGAAGGATCAAGATAGTTTCTTGAAGGATTAAGATGACCCATCAGCATGCGAGTAGGAACGGGCCGGTCGGTCAGTGGAGACTTATTCGTCCTTCCAACAATGTTGGGACTGGGCACACGCATCTACTGGCCTGAGAGCCAGCAGCAAAACCATTATCAAGTGCTGGGAAAGCAGTTGGTATTTGGAATTCGAAAGCATATAATGAGAAGCATGTCTCTTTCACAATTCCCCACCGCAAACAAAACCATTCCAACCATCTACCACAAACAGCAAATCCGGTCTCAGTTCCATCATACAATCTCAACATGTTCTTCAAAACCCTCCTTGCTACCACCGCTGTGGCCCTCTTCGCCGCACAGGCTATAGCTGCCCCTTCAGCAACAACCAGCACCGAAGTGAAGGCAGTTCTCAACGAGACTAGAGACGTCCGCATTGCCCCCGATGCCATCAGTGCATGCAACTGCCCCAACAACTGCAGGCACAAGCTTGGCGATTCGTGCAAGTTCTATCGGCAGGGCTATATTCTTGAGAGAAGTAAGTGATTCTCTACGCGACATGTTATTTGAATGGACAGTTGATAAGAAATTACAGTTTGCCGGGAGTCTGAGGATAACGGGGTCTTGGAATGCAGATAGGAAGCGCATGACTGGTGGTAGTCGCATATGAGCGATTCGCAATACTTGACGGGCTATGGCTTTCAGCGGAGCTCGAGAGGCATCAGAAACGACGGTCATTTTGAAGGCAGCATTCCTTCTATACTCATCACTTACTACAATTACATTCGTTTTCCAATCTTGCTCGCCATAACACATTTTCGATTTTTCCTACCCAGGTGATGTTCTATCTGAAAGCAATGAGAAACGAGTACAAGATCTTCAGTCGCGTTCCAGCCAGAGGCCAAAGAACGTTCACTGTTTCGAAGGATTATCGTAATCCTCAAGGCTGCGATGCCGCATGTACCCAGTACAAGGTTACTGCGCCGCATGCACTTACAACGAAGTTACCGCGCCGCATGGGCCTAAAACAAAGGTTGCGGTGTTGCCTATGCCTTCCTAGCATAAGGTTGCTGCGCCGCGTCTAGCACAAAGTTACCTACCACGCTGCATGTGTCTAGTACGCTCGGGCAAGATTGCCGCGCCATATATGGGGTGCTTAGCACAAGATTGCCGCGCTACATGTGCCTTCATGTAGCACTTTTGGCCCGATGTGGGTTTCGCGGACCGTCCCCTACATGTCCGCCGTGTTATCCATGCGCGTGGGGCTGTTTGGGCGCATATTTGACTTCCGGCTTCTTCAAAGCTGCACTACTCCCACGTCATCACGGACGTGTACAGAATTGTTTGTCATGGATACACAGCCTATTATTGATCTATCTACCCCTCAAACACGCCAAATGATCGTCCAGCTTCAAGAAGTCCCCGCCATCTTGATACGCCCTGAGAATCCCCGAGTTACGATCGTGTACTTGGCTGACCATGCGGTCAATAGCCTCAGTAGTCTGCTCCTCGAGAGTCTTCTCATTTGCCTCTTTCGCTTCTTGACGAATTTCATGAAGACGTTTGAGCCAATACATCCATCTCCACGGGGTGAAACCAGTCGGTGACCGCTTCCCGAAGTCGGATTCAAGGAAGTGTTGCCCACCCTGTCCGATATGACTGGGACAATCATTCCATGAGAGTTCAGAGAGTTGGACAAGAACGTGACCCGCCTCTTTGATCCACGCACACACAGACGGCATGAGCTGCGTTAGATCGAGAGTCGAGATCGTCTGGTGTGTAGAAAGTTCGTCTGGCTGCCCTCCGTCGATACTGCTTCTTCCCTCAAAAGTGGAGCTGAACAGCAGAAGAGCGATCTGACAGATTCGATCTTTGCTAACGCGAGTCGACGCCAGCTTGGCCAGAAAGGATGCGAGGTTCAGTCGTTGGGCGTTCTTCAAGGCCGCGCAGTTCTCGATCCAGAATCCGGTCATGTCAGTGGCTAGAAAGGGTAGATCTAAAAGTTGGTGTACAACGTCAGTGTGTGTCTCACATAAAGTTTGTACGGGGATATTACTGACCGTTCCACACCGTTCCATCTACTGTTCGCGCGATGTCGATACCGTAGTGCCCAGTAGCGGGCCTGGTCAACGGCCCCAATCCCTGGATTCGCACAATATCGAGAACCAAGCGGTCCTGCTCGCGCGTATCATACGCCGTGTGCAAAGCAACTTGGTAATACATGTGCCACGCAGAGTGGATGTGGTGCACAAGAGAGTCTATACCATCTCCTAAGCTGCAGTATCGCTCACTGACAACCCCGGTTCGATTATAGAAGGCTGTTCCGCGGAGTCCGTCAAGTTCCCCACGCGCCACGTCTTCGCGAACCATTAGGACGTCATGAGCCACATTGTCTAGGTAGTTGAGTTCGGGAGGGCCCTCCGGTGAGGCGCCCAGTAGAGCATCACGGAGGTGATGCATGTCGAGTTCGCGGTTGTGTTTGTGTCGTTCACTGAATGAGTAGAGTACAGAACGAGGGATAATGGAGACAGAAAAGCGCTCTTGGACATGCCCTTGAACCTCGTCTTCTTGTCACAATTTGGGTGCCTAAAAGAAGTCTCCGAAACTTAAAGATCCTTTCAGCTTCTCATCTCAATGTAACAGCGTCACTGCTCCACTGTGTATTGTTTCCGATACGCTGATCTCTATTGCAGGTGTCTGCCTTGCCTTACCTAAGTAGGGTTTCCAGCGCATGCCGCCCCACATCTGCACTGTGCCGCCGACGGAGAATGGTCTGCGGCCCGCAAGCGCCGCTGCTCTCATATCTTCGCTAGGCTGGTCTCTGTTGCTAGCGTTTGCGCCTTGGGCGTCGAGTAGTATCGGTGTATGGGCAAAGAATGTCTGCACGTAGCTGCCGGTTGAAGTCTGCAATCGGTACGCGGCAAGCGGGTTGCTTGGCATGGGGAAGTAAGGGACACGCGTGTTTAATCGTTTTGAGACGCGCTAGCGACGCGTCGTGCATCCCCTCGCCAACTTTGTGACACTCGCACTTTACACCTAAACACTCCCGCGGGTTTGCACAGCACGCATAGAGACGTGAACACTTCGATTACCATTTCTTTGTTTGCCAGCTATGGCCCGAAGGACCAAACCGAAGTCTAAGCCAAAGGCGGCCCCTATTCATTCTGCCAATTCCCCGCCGGTCCAGCAGGACGATGTCCAGGCCGCGTACCAGACCCTCGTGGAGTAAGACCACCTACGTAAAGGAAACCGCAGAGACTGACATACGTACAGCATTCGCAGCAAACTCGAGGCCCCAAAGAGGCGTACCGCCAAACAGCAAACGAAAATCCTCAGAGAGTGAGTTTCTCTCCTTGTACGAAACAAAAACTGCGTAGACTAATCACTAAGTTTGCTTTAGAGAATGGCCGGCCGCTGTCACGAAATACAGCGAATTATGGAATCTCCAATTTGCCCGTGAGATAGAGACCCGTCTACCGACCGAACTGAGAGCGATGATCTTCGACTATATTTGGGATAAGAAAGCAATCAACTATCATGAAAAGTCCATGCAATACCGTCTCAAGGCTGAGACTTGCCGCAGAGAGTTGCCGCACTTCATTCAAAGCCGCTTCATGGGTTTGAAAATAGCCCACGAAGTTATGGTGAAGTGGTACGAGGTACAACCCGACCGTAGCGATTCTGGCAGCTATCCCGACATTGATGGCAATGGTCCAGATGAATACATCACCATAGCATCAACGGAACGAGTCGTCTGTCAAGATATTTGGGATGTTGGACTTATCCCCGCAGATGTGTTGCAGGTACTGTATATTTGTCTTTGGGAATCCAATACAGACATCGATGCAGAAGGCGAGACGCTTGTCAAGACCCTGATGAGTATCAGGAAGAAGAGGAATTTTAGTCTCCATATCGAATTGGTTCAACAGGAGGTCAGGTTAAACTTGTGGGTCCCGTGGATCGAACTCCTGAGACCTGTTCTCCAGGCATATGAACGCGAAGGAGGGCATTTGCGTTTCAAATGGGGGCATCCGTTTAACAGGTACGACAACATAGAGTTTGACCTCACCGAGGTACTCAGAGATACGAGTGGAAGTGAACAGTGGAGGCAAGATGCGAGAGAGTATCTGGACAGTCTGGATGACTATATCTATAAGCATATGCACGAGGTAAGTGCTTACCTAACCTCCTGAGGACCACCTATCCATGGTTCCTCGAGGGGTACAATCAACCCGTCAGAAAGTAATTCGGTAGCTAATGCCTTGCCTGGTGTTTAGGAGCCGTGGATCGCATTTTCGGAACGCCATTACCTTATCGAGAATGAGCCAGATTATGACCCCGAGAATTATGCTCATCCTGCGCTCAGCACTCCGCCCGGCTTCTATCCTGAATCATATTATAGCGATAGCGAAGTTGACAGCGAAGATGACAGCGAAGTTGACAGCGAAGATGACAGCGAAGATGACAGCGAAGATAATAGCGATTTCCCGAATTGGATTGAGATATGCATCGAGGTGGCTATGCAACTTGTTCGTTTAGGGTATTCTTGCAGCCGCCCTTCCCTATCACCCATACTCCCATAATCATAACTTCGTAAACACCCCACCAGATACGCCTAATCACTCGCCTTATACTTCTCCCGATACTCATCCAACCTCTTGAGATCCTCCTCCCCACCCAAACTCCTCAAATACTCCACAACATCATCCAGCGTCAAGATAGCGAGCACAGGAATCCCATACTGTTTCCTAACCTCACCAATCGCACTGGGACCTGGCTTTCCATCGTCATCAGTCGCCGTAGGCATCTTCTCCCGCCTATCGAACGCCACGATAATGCCCACAAGCTCACCCCCTTCCCTCTTGATAATATCAATAGCCTCTCTAATCGCCGTACCAGCCGTAATGACATCATCCACAATAACAATCTTCCTCCCCTTCAGACTCGCGCCCACGATGTTGCCGCCCTCACCATGATCTTTCGCTTCCTTGCGGTTGAAACTGTAGCTCTTTTGTCCGTACTTGGCCATGTCCAGATCTGCGAGCTTGTCGACTGAGGCTGCTGCGAGGGGAATACCCTTGTAGGCTGGGCCGAAGAGAATGTCCCATTGGAACGACGGGTCCGAGTCGCCGTGGTTCTTCAGTGTGTGGGCGTAGGCTGAGGAGATGGAGCGGAGCAGGTCGGCGCGGTGGAAGAGGCCGGCATTGAAGAAGTAGGGTGATATGCGCTTGGACTTGAGGGTGAAGGTGCCGAATTTCAATGCGCCGGCTGAGACGCAGTCTTTGAGGAAGTTTTGCTTGTATTCGGGGAGCGCCATAGTCAGATTTGTTGTTGTTTGTCGTTATCCCGAAGTGGGTGAGGCTGTCTGAACTTTTCTTTCCGATCTCGTTCCTTTCCGAGCTCGGAAGCAGGGAGGCTTCGAGAAGGTGGGCCGTGCACCGAGACCGTCATTGCCCAAGTTGCTTCGCCAGAACTTTTCGTGAGCATCACGAACGCCCGCCCCACGCTATCCCATACCCGCGCATCTGCCACCTGCCTCTCTCTGCTGTTTCTCTTAGCTGCGTCGGTCTGATAGAGGTTTTTCGGGCGTCTGGGGGATTTTGTTCGTGCGGCTGTTGACAATCAGGCGCAACATTTCTTTACGCCGCCATCACAACCTGACATCTTCAACATGACCATGTATGTCTATTCTCTCCTACCCAGCAAACCGCAGCAATGGCAATGCTAATTCAATGCTAGCTGGGACTCAATAACCGGACGCAAGTCCAAGGAGACCGCACCCGCGCCCGCCTCGCCCCAAAATGCCGACTTCGTAAAAGAAGACAGCTTCCAACCCACACCCTTCGACCCCAACACGGCCATCCAAAACCCCTCAGAATTCCTGCTCGACCCCTCACAACTGCATCCCCTCGCCGGCCTCAACCAAGACACGCTCGACTACCTAAACCTCGAAGACAGCGTCCTCTCGGACCTGCCCGGCGCACAATCCGCTCTGCCCTCACGCGGCTGGTCCGACGACTTATGTTACGGCACGGGCGTGTCGTATCTGACGGCGCTGACGATAGGAGGAGCGTGGGGTCTCGCCGAGGGCCTGCAAAAGAACCCACCCAGCATGCCCCCGCGGTTGCGCATCAACGGCGTGCTCAATGCGATAACACGGCGAGGTCCTTTTCTGGGAAACAGCGCGGGCGTGATTGCTATGGTGTATAATGGTATGAACAGCACGATTGGGTACTACCGCGGCAAGCACGATATGAGCAACAGCGTGGTGGCGGGCGCATTGAGCGGCGCGCTGTTCAAGAGCACAAGAGGGACGAGGCAGATGGCTATTAGCTCGGGTATCTGCGCGACTGTAGCGGGAGGATGGGCGGTATGTTCAACCAGTTTTTGGTTCTGCTATAACGAAAGCTAACAGCCCACCAGATAACACGAAAAGTCTTCTTCGAGCCCGACCTAAAACAAGTCGACTAAAGCAAAGATAAAAGGAATTGCGCACAGCAAATACATACCGTTCTACCGCTACCCTGACGAGCCCCAATCGCGAAACCAGGCGCAGCAATCTTTTTCTCACCTTCTACTGCAGTTCGACGTTTGTCCCGCATTTACACGAGTCGATCTTAGCGCATGACCCTCCTCCTCACCACTCTGCGGGCCCTGCCCAACTTGTACAATAAAGCTGGCGTTCATGATACGGGAGGATATAAGATCCTTTTTACGTAGGGTCTCTTAGAAAAAGGTCTAGGTGTTGGCTCTGGGTTGGATTTGGAACAGCGGCCTGACGACCCTCTTGTCGGACAATCTGGGCTGTTGTGCTGTGTACATGTATATGTGTATGTAGAGATGAAAGTGATGGAATGGAGAATCAAGTTAATGATATATTTGATCAAGCATGAATAGGTTGTTTTGCAACTCTCCTGCATTCCAAAGTCTACCTATCTCAATCATCAACCTCGATCCCATTCTCCTCAGCATACCGCCTCCAGTCATAAACCGGCTGCATCCACATCTTCCTCGTAACACTAACCCGGCGTTTCCTCGCAACGCCCACACCAACCTGCCTCATTACAACATCACACCCCCAGTCCAACTCGACCAACTCACCACCCTGACCCCTTACACAAAGTTCAAGACACCTAGCAAACCAGCTCGGCACACCCCTCACCCTCACACTCTCAACAACCACACTGGGAAAAAGTCCCACGAGCGGTTCAAGTGCGAACATAAAATGCGGCACATAAGGATTCGTTTCGGGAGCTGGCTCCATAAACCCAGCCATGTCCATCGCACCCAGATACCCAAGAGGTCCATCATCCACATCTTCCAGCCCGACTTCCTTGACATCCACGAGATCAAGACCATCAACCGCAACACTGATCTCAAGTTTCTTCAACAGAGACTTTTGATCCTTGTCCTCGGCGTGAAGAGTAAGTTGCGTGACGATCTGCTGTAAGCGCGTCCGCAGCCGGTTACACGGCGCGGCCGTGCTATCCCCAGATCCGATGTTCAGGATGATGCGGAGGTTTTCTATGTCGCGCAGTGTGTGTACGTTGAGGCGGCGGGAATCGAGCTTAAAAGGACCGAAGTGCAGTTCGGAGGTGTATTGTTTGGAGGTGATGACGAGGGTGATTTCGTTGGTGTGGAGGAAGAGGGCTTGTTGGGGCTTTTGTTAGTGGAAGGACGATTGGGCTGTGTGGGATGAAGTGGAGGAAGGAAGGGAGGAGAGTTCATGTTCTGACTCTGGGACCCCTACCCATAGATTCGTAGCTTACCTTTCGCTTCCTGTGCTAGGGTCTTCACGCGTATCAAAGCGGCATAGTCAGATAGACTGTTACTGATGTGCTGGTTACCGTTCATTTCCCTTTCGTGATGGTTCTCCCAAGGAAGCACGGCGCCTATTGGTCGCGTCTCGATGATCCATTTGGGTCTGTAGTCGGGTTGCTCGGGATATGGTCCCCATCTGAACTTTATGCTCTGGTTTTGAGGGAGTACGTAGGTGAGGACGTGTCTCTGTAGCTCCAGGGGTAGACGCTCAAAAGGAAAGGTTTCAGCATGTTCAGCTTCGCTCATGATGTTGTGCTCAGTGGACATGCTCAAGTGGCTCCGTGCTGCACTGAGCGTTGTAGACTTCTATAGACATAGCACTGGGCTGCTGAAGCTTGCTAGACGTTGGACAGCAATCAAGATGGAGTAACAAGCGCCCAGCGCACTCTCATTCGCACACACTTCCCCAGTCATCTCGCTCTAATATCCTTACCGTTCAATAGTATGAATGCAAGGTTACACAGGCTTACAAAAGTCAGTAGGGATATCTACTATTGCCTATAGCAAAATAGATCAGATCTATAGCTACCGGGGTAGAATGCTATCTGCGATGGAGTGAAAGCCGTAATGACTTCCAACTCACATGCTCTTTGCTTGAGTATGATTTCACTAATGCGACCTGCCCGAGCTACTGCTATGACTGTTGCTAGTATACTCTACCTAAGCATACACAGTGACTCAGTTCATGACTGACTCCTGATGTCGCAATAGACATGAAGCAAATTAACGATGACCAACCTACAAGAGGTGCAGCCATCCATGTCGTCGAAATAAGAGTGTACCATGGTTGGACGAAGCTGGTGAAAGGGAGTGATGAGTCGCAACACCTATTAGCGCGAAATCTTGGCGGCGCACCGCACACATTGAATTGCCCCACCGGCCGCCGCCACTTCTCACTTTCTGTATCATAAGGGACCCCGACTACCTCCCAACCCGACACCCCCGATAACACAACCACAACCGCAAATATGTCCAAAACAGCAGGGTGAGTCTATGCGCACCTTTTTCGGCCTTTCTACGCCTACCGCCCTCCCATGTCGCCCCTACGTCGCTCCAAGCCGCACATCAAGCCGCGAGCTTCTGCATATACTTCTCCGGGTTCTAGAGCATCAGGCTGACAGTACTGCTATAGCCGCACCGACTGGGCAGAAGAAGAAGATGAGAACGACTCTCTCACCTCGCTCCCACCCCAACAAGTCATCAAGAACAAAGACGGAACCGAAACCGTAATCTCCTACCGCATCGGCGAAGACGGCAAGAAATACAAGACAACACGGCGCATCAAGAAGACAGTCGTAAAGCAAATCGTAAACCCCCGCGTCGCCGAACGAAAGCAATGGGCGAAATTCGGACAAGAAAAGGGCAAGCCCGCAGGCCCACAAACAGACACCGTCTCCGTCGCCGAAAACATCGCCTTCCGCCCCGTCTCCAACTGGAAAGCCAGCAACGAAGACAAGGGCGACGAAGCGAAGAAGAAGGCGGAGCTCAAGAACGCAAAGATCAAGTGCCGTATTTGCCAGGGAGACCATTTCACCACAAAATGTCCCTTCAAGGACACCATGGCCCCCGAAGGCGATGTCGCACCCGCAGAAATGCCAGACGATGCGCCCGGCGGTGCAGGAGGCAGTCTGGGTACCGGCTCTGGCGGCTACGTTCCTCCTCATCTGCGTGGCCGTGCGGGCGCAGGCGAGAAGATGGGCGGCAAATTCGACCGCGACGATAGCGCTACTCTGCGCGTTACCAACGTGTCTGAGTTCGCCGAAGAACAGGATCTGCGCGACATGTTCTCCAAGTACGGACACGTTACTCGTGTTTTCCTTGCCAAGGACAGGGAGACGGGTCGCGCCAAGGGCTTTGCGTTTGTTAGTTATGCGGATCGGAGTGATGCTGCGAAGGCGTGTGAGAAGATGGATGGATGTAAGTTTTTGGATAAGCCTGTGGTTTTGGGTGTTGTTGCTAACTTTTGTGATCAGTCGGTTTCGGACATCTTATTCTCCGCGTGGAGTTCGCTAAGAAGGCTTAAGTGCACGGGAAGGGCATTTGTAATGGCGATATGATCATTGCAATTCGGCGTTCGGGGTGGTTTCACGGGCTATGATATCTGTAGATATGGGTCTCTCCGTGCTGGACGATAGCTATCGTTTGTGAATGCAAACGAAGCTGCTTCTCATGAATATCAACGATAGAGTGCTCGCTTTGAACTCGGATCCACACATCACCCATCATCAGTGCACTATTACGCGGAGTTCAAAACACTAGCATTCGCGCAATAATAATAAACCTAACCAACAAGTCCAACTATCCTCCCCCAGTTCGAAGAAATGCAGCATCCATCACATCATCTCTCTGACCCCGACCAGCCGATGACTCAAGACCCGACTCTTCTATCCTTCAGAGCCCAGATTCCATTGCACCCTGCCTCTTCCAGGACCCTGGAACTGGCCAATTGGCACCGGCTTAGGCTGCTGAATAATATCGCTGTTAGTCCTAGGGATCGTTTGAACGACTGGCTTAGGAGTGTTGGCCGTGGTGTGGAAGACCGTGTCACTGCTGCCTCTAGGGAGCTTGGGCTTTTGGATGTGGTGAGGCGACCAGGGCGTGTTGAAGTCGTTGACGAAGGGGGTTTGGGCAGGTATCGACTGGGCAGGCGGTGAGAATTGGGGTGATTGTTGCATCAGCTGTGGTGAGCCTTGAGCGTAGTCGATGAGGAGGCTATGTTTTGTGAGTATACCCAGATCAGCCATTGTAGGAAGGGTGAACTTACTCCTGAGGTTGAGCACTGCCCCTTCGACTTGGCTGTACACTGCTTGCCACGCTACCTCCACCCGCTACACTACCCGGCGCACTGCCGTACATCGCTGCATGATGTGACTGTGGCGTGGCGGGCAACCATCCACTACTCGTGATGCCCTCGGCGTCCATAAGTCGCTGGAGCAGATCTTCGGTGATGACGAGCAAGTGTTCCATGGCACCGAGACGCGAGTCCTCTTTGGCAGAGCAGCAGTGTACATAGGATCTACTCGAAGGATTGTGCTCGACGATGCAAGCTCCAATTTTTCTTGAGGAAGTCGGAGCGAAACTTATCACGTCTAGACAACGATTCGGTCCATATATCGCGCGCGCGTTCGCTGTAACAGGTCAGTCATTCTGTTTTAAGCGCAAGAAACCGCGAAAGATACAGACCGAGTACTCTTGTCCGCGTGCTTTCCAGGGAGTCCTCCGAGTCTTTGTCCTCCATGCGATGAAGAATCTGGCTCGCCGTTCGTTCCAGCGCCAGGCTCTCGTAACTGCCGCTCTTGCCGTGCTTCATTTCTTTGAGCGTCTCGATCATAGCGGTCAGCCGTCAATACCCGAGAGAGGTTCGACTTCTTGGATTTGTTCGACTGTCCCGATGAAGATGCGGTAGAGTCACCCGTGTCTGCGCGCCTGATGGGTCCGAACTTGTCGAACGTCGTCAGTTCTCTGGCGAGGTTCTTGAGGGAAGATGTTCGAGTGAGATCTGAATTCGAGTTTGTACGACTCAGGGCTGGTGAAGTTCCAGCTGATCTTGAACCGTCAAATTGGCGGGTACCCCTGCGCTTTTCGAGCCGAAGTTGATGAAGTCTCTCTTCCTGATGTGCGGCTTCTTTCGTACGCTGCTCCTGTCTAGCAAGATAGACGTCTCGAACGCTGGTGTATCGGTCTAGACGATGAGGATTCTTGCTATGATATGGGTTAAGCTGAGGTCCTAGTGCAATTCTCTCCGCAAGGGTTGGGGGAAGAGCTGGCTGCGAGTGTCTCCTTGACCGGCTTGAAGTTTGGGTTGAAGTTTGAGATGCGCTCGACGTGCTTGATCTGATCGAGATGGGTCTAGTGCCGGATCCTGTGGAGTTAGCTCTCGCTAGGCCGGGTCGCCCGTATGGGGGATCCAGGATGGTCGTTTCTTGTATGGTTGCGAGCTTTAGGCTCTGCCGATATTGTTCTTGCCAATACCAGGCTGGAGGTGCGCAGGTACCGCAGGTAAATGGGAACGTTGTTACGTTCGCGAATCGGCCCTGCTGAAGTCTGCTGTCAACTCTGATCTCACGACCTTCACCATGAAACTTGGCGCGCACCTAACGTGGAGTGGTCACCTTCGGTGCCGACGAACTTCAGATGAAGATACAGATCTGTAACGGTATATGGGAGAAGCGGAGAAGGTCGAGCTAGCGTGTGCCGGGTGGTAACTGGTGTTCAAGGTAGTGTTGCTGGCGGTGGGCCAAAGGATGAGATGGACACTGAGGTGATAGGTGCTCAGAGAGGATGCTGTTCGATAGCCGAAAGGCTGTGCCTAGGTATTGGTAAGCGCTCAGCAATAGACCAAATTGTGAGTGACGAGGAAGTTGGTATGACGAAGTTGTTGTTTGTTGGGGCCACGACAGGTCGTCGCTGCCATCCGATCGACGTCTTGCACACTCATTTTTAGCCAAGAAGGAGCGCTGCCCGACGTCACTCGAAGTGCAGGAGCGAACGTCAAACTACTGCAATCACGTCATATGGCCAAGAGTAGCCAACCGGCGATGACGAAACGATGTGAAGTATAGAAGTAAACGGTATCTAAGCAGATCTGAACAATAACCCCCACTCTGTTCCACCGATGGTATCCTGTCCTTCCGTGTCCCGATCTTCCATGCAAATGCCCACACACTAACGCTTCAAGTACAATTATGCTATTCGATACACACTACACCACGCACCCAAACACACCACCACTATGTTACTGAAACCGGGAGGCGTTAGACTGAACCGTGTGGAGAAGAAGCGCAGAACGTGTGAGTGGCTCTGTAGGCTTCCGCGCGTCCACGTTCTGGAACAGAATTCGTGCTTCGGCATCCAGCATCTAACCGGAGAACCTGAACCGCGAAGCTTCCAGTCTACCGAGGCCTTCGCGGGGCGCAACGTTCCGGCGTCGGTAACTAGTGGTGAAGTCTTGTAGGATAGTCCTTATCATCCTGACATCGCCAGTTTGGATACGTTGTCGAATGTTATTTAGGAATCGCTCGCTCTCTTGAGGTGTGATACTGCCTTGGGGTAACATGCCAACGGTACTAGCTACCCACTGAGCGACCTGCTCAGGCATAAGCTCGAACAGGTCGAGGAGCACGCCAGAAGAGTCCGCGAAGCAGCCCTCAGGGAAGCTGTACATCATGCCAGTCATGATGCGCTGGACTAGTTGAACGCCAGCACCCATGACAAGTTGCTTGACGCGGTTCCGCAGTTGCTCGGGC